AAAAAAATTATTTTTTTAATATTTCAACAGGTAGGATTTGTTGATTTTCCTTTATAACAAAAAATTTAACAATTTATCAAACGGAAAAAACAGAAAAAAAAAACAAAAATTTATCCCTAATTTCTACGAAGCTACGTTTCAGCCCCTTCAGCACGCCACAGCCTAACACGCCTCCTCATTACGTCTCTGATTTTCCCCTTTGACTCCCAATTCTCTCTTTTATCTTCTGCTCCCAACTATCCCAAAAGAGTGAAAGGAGCAGAAGGAAAATCCTTCCTACCCATCTCGAATCCATCGTTCGGATCCCACCTGATCGATTCTTTTTCACTATATACGTAGATTCTTCCTGGGTTTTTGCTAAATCGGCCTTTCTGAAGCGTCTTGATTCGAAAGCTTCTGGCTTTTGTTAATTTATCATCTGCAAACAATTGAAAAAAGGCTTGCTTTTATGGGGACAGTATCTATTTCGATGGATGCTAGGACAACCCAATGTTTTGACGACGATCAGGTGTGGCCGCCGGGGTTCCGGTTTCACCCTACTGATGAGGAACTGGTCCTGTATTATCTGAAGCGGAAGATGTGTAGGAAGAGTCTGAAACTGGATATTGTTGGAGAGATCGATGTGTACAAGTTTGAACCTGAGGAGTTACCAGGTATTATACCCCCCTTTTCTTTCTCGTTCTAATTATGGGGGGTGGGGTTTGGCCTATTTTTGTTTAGGGTTTTCATCTTTGTGTTTCGATTCTGAGTATTTAATTGTTATGGTTATTGGATTGCATGTTTTTTTCGATTCGTGATATTCTACTTCCGTTTATTGGGGATGGACACAGTTAACTCAATTTCATTGTAATTTTTCTTTATTTTTTCTATTCTTAATTGCTAATAAGTAGTTTGAGTTAATTTCCAAAAAGAAAATTTAGTGATTTTATGTTTTTCTTGGGTTTTTGTTGCGTTGACTTGGTTCTTATCGGAGATCAGAGGGTTGACTAGGCTTAGGAATGTTATATTTTCTTTTCCCCTATTAATTGGTTTGGATTTATGCTGTTACAGCTGTGTATTTTGTTGGGTTTTTAATTAGTTGATTTGATCGACATTTTATTGGTTAGTGCTGCGTCTAATGGCAAATTGAGTTTGGTTAAAGGGTTATTTAGCTACTTGCAGTTTAGAAGAACTAGGAGGAAATTTATTTCATTTTTTACTTGGCAGAAGTTCTAGCTTCAGTCAATCTTCTAGTGTATTCTTCCCATTTTAGATTCTGACTCGGTATTTTCTTTCAATAAGGTGACTTATGTTAAAGAATTATGCTGTAGGTATTACTTGTTTAGTATACTTGTCTTGGGGTTTTGACCCCATTTTTTAAGGTTTGTTTGTCTATTGATTTTGAGCTATTAGTTCTCTGACAAGCAAAATTATTTTTCCAGGACAATCAATTTTAAAGACTGGAGACAGGCAATGGTTCTTCTTCAGCTCAAGAGATAGGAAATACCCTAATAGGGGAAGGTCTAATAGGGCAACCCAGAATGGATATTGGAAATCAACTGGAAAGGATCGTTCTATTACTTGTAATTCTCGTACAGTTGGACTGAAGAAAACTTTAGTTTTCTATAGAGGGCGTGCACCTAAGGCGGGGCGGACTGACTGGGTGATGCATGAGTACACCCTAGATGAGGAAGAACTCAAAAGATGCAAGAATGTAAAGGTATGTGGCCTAACTTCATAAGGAGTCCAGTTTTAAAATTATTCTTCTGCATCTGCATATCTGTATTTTAATAACCCTGCATTTCTTCTTGAATTTCAGGACTATTATGCTCTTTATAAGCTGTATAAAAAAAGTGGTCTAGGCCCTAAAAATGGTGAGCAGTATGGGGCACTATTTAGAGAGGAAGACTGGGCAGATGATGAAGGTACAAGTATACCTGTTCCAGTTGATACAGAGACCGCTGTGAAGCAACCTGTTGAGGTCGCTTCTGAAAATAATGAGATAGCTAAATTTCAAGTTGAGCCTCCATTGATCGATGTTCAGGAGTTCATACCAGATAGAGCACCTGTGGCTGCACTTCCTGAGCCACAAGCTGGTGATAATCATTACACAAGGCCTCAGGTTTGTTATTCACTTTCTTTTCATCAAAATATTGGAATTGAACTAATGTATTGGTGCTTAAAGCCTTAAAGCAACTACTTTATTGCATAGAGATTGCATCACTGGTTTTTCTTACCTTTATTTTAATTGATAGGTTTTTGGTGAAGAGGAAAACCAGAGTGCTTTGCTGGACTCAACGTCAAGGGAAGTTGTCCTCTCTGAGCAAATGAGAGTTGTTCCCCCAAGTTATCAGCTAAATGATGAACATTTGAGCTTTGATTTCACCCAGACAGCTACCTGTACATTGCAATCTAATGATTCACTTGATGTCACATCTGCCTCCAACCACTTTGAATGTGCACCTCGGATATGTGAAGAAGGCTTCTTGGAGATTAATGATCTTGTTTTTCCTGAAGAAACAGTCCCTACTGTTAAGAATCCTATTGAGGACAGGCGGTATGATGACTTGGACATTTTCCATGATACAGCTATGTTTCTTCAGGATTTGGGGCCTATTGATGAGGGAAATGCTTTACATCCTTACCTGAATGCCTTTGGGGATAATTTTATAAATCAGGAGTACCAGTCACAAGCTGATTCAAATCTAAACCAGGTGGATCAGCATTTGCAACCCCAGTCAACCATATACCATGCAGGTGACCAGTTGCAGTTCCAGGCGGTTGGAAACCAGATGGATTACCTGGCACATAACATTCCAGTTGGTCTGCACCAGATAAATAGCCAGCTGTGGACGCATGATCAGAGAAGTGATGTCTTCAATCCAGTGTCATCAAATCTGGAGACTCTCAGTACACCAACTTCAGGTACATGCCAAAGTCTACATGGCAAATACCCATGTGAAAATGGGCATTTGAGCTAGCTTCAAAGAGCTCTTCTGAAGCAAGTGTTTTTTATGTAGATATGTAATTCTAAGATTAGGATATCTGTACTTGTTCACTTCAGTCATGGTGTAAATTCTGAGATGGTTTAGAATGCTACACTGTGAATATCCACCTAGCTGTAGACTTATTGTTTGCTTATTTTGGTTATTTCTCATCATGCTTAGGTCTGGAATGTGATGTAAATCAAGACCAAGGTCACAAAGAAGATGCTCCAGCAAGCCCATTTTCTTCTGCTTTGTGGTCCTTTGTGGAGTCAATACCTACTACTCCTGCATCTGCAGCAGAGAGTCCTTTTGTTAATCGGGCTTTTGAGCGAATGTCCAGCTTCGGTAGAGTGAGACTTAATCCCAGAAACAGAAATGTTTCTGCAGGTAATGTCTCTGAAACTGGTAGAGGAATAGGTGGAAAGAGGGGGTTCTTTCTCCTATCAATGTTAGGTGCTTTATGTGCTATCTTGTGGGTGTTGATTGGAATGGTGAGAAGTTTTTCTTCATCTTCTGCTGGAAGATCACTGGAATTAACTAAGTAGGTCGGCACATTTGGATAATAATGAATTTCAATATTTATGTGAATTTTGAATGTAAATTTTGAAAGCAGGTTTCCTTAGTTTCACAGTAAGTTTTTTTGAAACGAATAGTTTCACAGTAAGTTTTATTTTGCCACAGATGTACTTCATCATTCATGCCAACATAAGTTCTTATGAAATCTAACTTCTCTTTGATTTGGCATTATAATCATCTCCATTGTTGGATGCTTCTGCCTTCTTCAGATATATACTAGAAGGTGATGTTCTTGTGATTTTGTTGGAGTTGCTGTGTGATTTTACATCAATTGTTGGGAACAATCATTTTTGTCCCAGCCCCAGTTGTCTGCTAACCTTCTCTCTCCGATTTGTCATTGTAATCAGCTCCATCATAAGATGCTTGCTTTCTCGGATATACTAAATGATGATGATACCTTTTTGGTTATATTGGCAATGTTGGAATAACTATTTCATTTTTCCATCCTAGTTGTGTTTGCATGAGGGCTAACTGTTTATCATTACTGACCCGTTTGGTAGCTGTTATGCATAAGGACGAAAGAATGAGACCCTGATCCTTTGGCAAATATGGTGCCTCATTCTGTTTTGTTCTTTTTTATGCTGTTCCTACTTTTTGCATTTGCTTGCTGGTGTTGCCAAATGCAGGCAGGTTTTCGGTTGTATTTATATTTTATGGTGGGTTTGGGGTTGTGTTAACTTCTTTTAGATGGTATAAATTTCCCCCTTTTACATCAAAAAGGAAAAAATAGTAGTCAGTGGATTAATTATTGGATTCATTCCTATCTGTTGCATTATTTTTCAAGATCGTTTATTTATGTGGCATTTTGGAATTTTGTGAAGAAATAGAAGAGATCCAAGGTTGTTGGAGTGCAGCACTGCCATCAACCTCAGGTCACTTCCCTTAACCAATCATGGACACAGCCGTTGAGACAGGAACTGCCTGGCAAGTGCCATCACCCTGGTTAAACATGGAAGCCAGATTTAGGTGAGGCAACATATCATTCATTTGAAGGAAACTTCTACTTGTATCAACCTTTTGTTATTTGTGAGCACACTGTGCAAACGGGGTTTCACCCCAAAATGGAAAATCTTCTCTCTAACACTCTAGTATGAGTCAACAAAGTAATTGGATCAACTGCTTGATCAAATTGCAAATATTCTCCTGGTTCATCGGTTGGAAGATATGGTAGAGAATTAGATTGTTGTGACGTTGTATCATGGTAGAGGTAAAGCTGTTGGTGTTGATTGAGATATGCATGAGTCCTTTTTTTTTTTTTGTTTTTAAACACTTACAATTTGGGGAGAAGGGAGAGGGAGATATTTGTATGGCATTATCGTGATTTGAACTTTGATACCAATCAAAATATTAGGTGTACCAACAAGTTGCTTTATAAAGCCAGTTGCATGATATGCATGAGCTTGGTTTTAAAGTTCAAACCTAAATATCTACAATTCCCCAGCTCGGGGCTCAATGAACAGGTGCCTACTTTCCAACTTTTAGCACTAACTTGTGTTTTAATTAAGAACTCGTGTGTTCCCATCTAGCACCTGAATCTTTTCTCCTTCTGAAATTGGGTTAAAAATATGAGATTAGTGTTTATCATTATTATTTTGGTCTTTTTTGTAGTGCATTATTGAAGACATATTTCAAGTTATTTCTCTTAAAATTTAAGAGATGTATCCCATAAACATTTTT